GGGCTGGGGCTGGGGCTGGGGCTGGGTTTGCAAGTCTTCATTCTGGACAGTCAAGAGCACTCAGAGCTGCTGCTGTAAGTGTGGCTGGAGGCAAAGGGAGGCTCCAGCCCTCCTCTGAAGATCACCTGAGGGCTCTGGCTGCTGACCCCGACCACCACATGCGCCCTTCCTCATCACACACACCCTGCACACTGGCTTCTCATAGGTGTGAGGAGACAGGGAGGGGCAGGCAGAGACGCGCTCTAGGCATGTCTAGAGCGCCCTGCCGACATCAGCAGCCATTCCTCCCCAGCAGGCTGGCAGTGGATGAGGTAAGTCGCTTAGCCCTTCGGGCTCAGTGTCTGCCTCTGCACTGAGGGACAGTCAGGGGAGCCGGGGCTGGGGAGGTGCAACAGGAAGAGAGACCACGTGTTCCCACGTGTCTGGAGCTGCTCACTTGTCAGGGCTAATCTCGGAGCGGAGCGTGGGGCTTGTTGGGGAAGACACTGCACCCCGCAGCCCACGTCCAGCGCATGTGGCGGCTCTGTCCCTACTGCTGTCACAACAGGGCTGTGTGCCGCTTGCCAGTGGGGACATTCCCAGTGTTTCTCAAATGCCATCGCCGTGTGAGACCCAGTCTTCCTGCTCAGAAAAGCAACGGGGTGCAGTGCAGGGCCCTTCCTTAGCAGCAGACATCTTGCCTTTGCTAAAGGACTTCAACAGTGATGGGACTGTGTCTTTGAAACCAACAGAGCCAGTCGTGGTACCTTCTCCAGCTACCACTGCAAGGTTAAATTGGTAGTGGGTGCCAGGTGCTCAGCAGCCAACGGGCCGAGGGGCAGCATGCAAAATGAGGAGCTGATTTACTGTTGTTGCAATGGTTGTTAAGGGATGATGGGGTCACAGATTGTCCTCTGTCCTTGAACCTATGAAGTTTTCTATGCTGTGACTGAATCAAGTGCTCCTTGTGGCTAGGAAACCAAGGAGTTGGCTTGGGCACTGTTGGGTAGCAGTTTCCTGAAAATACATCTCATCCTTGAGGGAGGCTCATTAGGGCTCAGAAGTTCTAAAGGGAAGCTCTATAAGACTAAGGAAGTAAATGACTCACAAATCTCAGGAAGTTCCTAAAACTTAGCAGATACTCAAGGTCCCTCCCTCCCCAAGGTTATATAAGCAGTAGGGACTGCTTGGAGACTCTCCCACTTACAGAACTAGCAGAAGATGGTTCAGAAAGCTCCAGAGTTTCAGCTTTCCCAGTCATCACCTGTACTGGGGTGGACTTTTGTTTTCCAGCTTCCTTGGAGTTGTGTATGCTCCATGAATTTCTATGCCTTTAAGTAACCCAATACACTCATCGGTTCAGCAAGCTAACACCACTTGGGCGGTATTGTCACCCTGCCCTGCTATCGGTTCCGCTCTAGGGGTGAGAAGATGTTTGTTCATGCCTTTCCAGAAATAGTGTAATACAACAGGCAAGGACCAGGTACGGTGGGGGGAAGATGGGGAAAGGGCCAGTTAAGCGTGCAACAGAGAGAAAGACCAAGCCACCTCCCTCTCCGCTCTCCTCTCTCCGCTCTCCGCTCTCCGTCACTGCCTCCCCTTGTCGAGGTTGCTAGGAAGCCCTTCTGCTGAGGTTGCAGTCCAGCATGACCAGAAAGCCCTGAGCTCAGCTCTAGATGGAAGACTCCCCTTGCCAGCAGGCCTTCATCTTCTCTGCCTGCCCTCATCTGGGGGGTGTTCTTACGCACAGATGTCTCTAACCACGTCTAGGATATGACCTTTGGCACAGTCCCTGAAAGCACACCTCCCCCATCTCCCCGCCCCCATCCCCCGTAGGATAATTAGGTTCTGTTTTCCCATTCATATGACAGGACTGTGCTGCCCAATGCAAACAGAGCATCCGTGGCATTCCTAGCCCCTGGCAATAGTGCACACCTGTCCTGGGAAGCCCACCTGCTCCCTAAGAACTATATGGCCTTTGTTCGCCCCGAACAAAGAGTGGTCTGGCTGAAGCTGATCCTGGAGGTCATTTCAGTCACATTCACGGGCCCCCGGAGTCCCCAGTTCTGCCACCAAGGTCACACTTCCCCACACATGCTCTTGGGCCTCTGACACCCACTTTTGGACTGAGCATTGCTTATGTCCTACTCACACATCGGCCCACAAGGCCCACCCCTCCTCCCACGTCCCATTTCTGCTCGCACCTTGACCCTCCACTGACTCTGCTCCAGCTGCAGGGTGTAGTTGGCCACCTGGATGGTGATCATCTTGGTCACACTGCCTTGCTTGTTGCCCCAGACCACGTTCTCCTGAAGTATTGTGAAAGGCTGCAGACCGGGCCGGCTCCAGCAGGTCTGAGCCAGCACGTACACGCAGGTGCCCGTAAAGTTGAAGCGGAGGCCGTCAAAGGTGGTGTAATGGGAGGTCCCCGACACCTGGCAGGTGGCCTCGCCCACAGCCACGCATCTGAGGATGCCATCAGACACCTTACACACTTCGTGCGGGCTGCAGTGCGAGGGCTGGCAGGTCACCAGGCCGCCCTTGTGACAGTGGCAGAGGGAGTTACATTCGGGGCCAGGATAGAAGTCGTCCCCAGCCGGGTGGTAAATGCCCTGGTGTACGCAGCCACAGGAGGCCAGGGGCACACAGGCGTCCCCACTGAGGACATAGCCATCGTCACAGACACAGCTCTCGTAGCATTTTGTGCCGCAGCCGCCAGGCACCGGCATGTCTCCGCAGGTCAGTGGACAGCCTCGAAAACAGATCTCATAGTGGCTGTGAGGAGGGCAGTTCATCGCTGCAGAGAGAGCGCCATCAGATCAAAGACTTTTACCCTCGGGTTGACACTGCGGATTCCCCAAAATATACAAGTACACACCTCTATACGCACACGCGCGCGCACACACACACACAAAGTGGTCCTATTTCAAGAAACCGCTGTGTTCAGCAGGGCCAAGGGAACAGTTTCATAGTTTCTGAGCCTCAGAACTAGGATTCAGTTCTGATGCACCTGGGTTGGGGCCCATCTGAAGCGTCTTTAATGACACTGCTAACAGTGGGTGTGAATGCTAACATTACATGTTTTAAATAAGCTTAGGCATGCATGTGTGCAGAGTTCACACAGTCTAAGAGTGACTACAGTATCTTCATTTTACAGTGTTAATAACGCATTAGTAACAAAGTATCAATAAAGTATTAAGTAACATGTAGTAAATAAAAACAATTACTTATACTACATTTTAGTGAAAGCATTTAGTGTTGTAATGAGCCCCAGACAGACAGAAGGCTGGAGAGATGGCTCCGCTGTTAAGGGCACTTCCGGCTCTTGCAGAGGAGCTGGGTTCAGTTCCCAGCGCCCACATAGGGCTTCACCAGCATCTGTAAATTCAGTCCCAGGGGATAAAATAAATACAAAAAGCCCGAGCCACCAAATCAGACCATCTCTTGTTCTCCTCCATAAACACTAGTCAAACTTTTCAGTCTGTCAGCACCATAAAAGCAAAAGGAAGCACCAGGCCAAGCAGGCTGGGCCGGAGCTCCCCAGGAGAGCTTGCCAGGCTTGCATCGGGCTCCGTGGTCACACCATGGCACCACATAAAATTCATGCTGAAAAGGACGCCCAAGCCCCAAACTGCTGGAACTCAGCCAAAGGAGCTCCCCACCCCGTGCTGTTGTGGTGCTATTGTGGTCTCTAGGCACGCTGGTCATTTCGATGACAGTAAAGTAAAGTGAACCAAGAGGGAAGAGCCTGGTTCCTGGTCACGACAGCCTCATTTCAAATATGCAACAGCTTCCTGTGGCCGCTGGCAAGCAGACGGGCACCACCAGATGTCCTCTGTCATTACTGCTGTTGTCTACTAATTCTTGGTGCCCAGTTGCCACCCCTCGGTCCCGTGGCATGAACATAACCCCCTCCCCACCAGGAGACGAAGGGTTAAACATGGCTACTTGTATGTGAATGCACAAACTTGAGCTCCCCACCCCAGCTGACACTATCCTCTCGATTACTCACGGCAAAGTTCCTTAGTCCTCCAGGGATACACCACGATGCTGTGGTCCTGGCAAATGGCGGTGTAGGTGGCCAGCGAGTCACAGATGGGCTTGGTCTGGCCTGGCATTCGGCAGTTGTCATAGATGCACTCTATGAGTGCGCTGTTGAAGGTGGGCTCCTTCCAGCAGTGCTTGAAGTGGCCCTTCCTGTTGCTGAGGACCCTGCACTGCTCGTTGTTCAGCTTCACGATGTCTCTGTTCATGTTGGGGCACACGCGTTGCTCGTCCGTTCTGCAGCCGGGCCTGGTCGCCACCAGCCACTTCCTCCCGAAGTCTTGGGGGTCAAGGGCTAGGCTGTGGTTCTGCTGGCCCAGGTCGTCCTGGGCATTCCCATTAAAGTTCCCACAGAGCCCACACACGGCCTTGGCATAGTTGCTGGGCACCTTGGTGGTCACGTGGGTGTCCCAGTTGTAGCTGACCAGCAGGCCAAAGTCCGTGCGCACGAAGGCGTACAAGCCCCGGCGGTAGGCTACGATCTTTCCACCTGCCACTTGGAAGGGCAGGTACTGCTGGATGCCGTTCATCTGGGGGGAGACGCAGGAGGACCGATGGGTCAGGGTGCCTGCCTCTCCTGTCTCCCAGGAACTGACAGCACTCCAAACCTCTCCACTTCGGCTGGCTTCAAAACCTTTGCAATTACTCGTTTTAACACATGTTGTTAATTAATATTCAAGCCTTAGGTAAAGTGTCCTTTCAGAGGGGTGGGAGAGCATTAATACCTGTTAATAATCGTGCCCTCTATTTATCCAGAGCCTTTCCATACCAAACGCTGAGGGATACAGAGCCTAGCACAAGGGAAGTTCTGTTTCCCACTTTTAACTTGTCTACCCTTTTTATCTCCCCAAGGCACAGGCCGTCACCAAACTTCTCTATTATAATATGAACTATTGTTTGAGTATCCAACAACTTATTTCTCCATACACACACATATAGGTTTTTTCTAATTAAAAAAATTATTTATTTGTTTATTTTTTTAATTTTTATTCTTTTTAGCGGGGTCTCTCTGTAGAGAGAGACTGTCTCTGGCTGTCCTGGAACTCACTGTGTAGACCAAGCTGGTCTCACAGAGAAGGTCTTGTCTCTGCTCAGATTAAAGGTGTTCACCCCTGTAACAGGGTCTCTCTCTCTCAATGTACATACATATGGATTTACTATATATAACATAGAATATGGCACACATCGTATATATCATTTTATGAGTGTATTTATGTATCATATATATTTGAGACAGGGTCTGACTGTGTATCTCTAATTGGCCCGAAGCTCACTATGTAGGGGTGTGGCCCCAGAATGCCTTCCAGAAGGCCAATGGTTCACAGGCTAGACTGGAATTTGGGGAATCTGTCTGACTCTTCCCTTTGAGCCAGAGATCGGTTTGTGTCACCAGGTCTGGCTGTTATTTTTTTTTCCTTCCTTCCTTCCTTCCTTCCTTCCTTCCTTCCTTCCTTCCTTCCTTCCTTCCTTCCTTCCTCCCTCCCTCCCTCCCTCCCTCCCTCCCTCCCTCCCTCCCTCTCTTTCTTTTTTTTTTTTGCTGTTATTTTATTTTTGTTTTTTTCTTTCTGTCTTTTCTCTCTGTTGGGTGAGGGGTGTTTGTGGACTTGACTTTACCTGGGGCAAGATTCAAGAATTTGAGCAAAGCTCTCTTTGATCACAGATCGGGGCTTACAGTGGACGTGCGTGTGAAACCTGTTTGGAAAGCCTCGCAGCGGAGCGACGAGCGCTGGAGCCTTGCCAGCCTGCGCACGCGCGCTGCAGCACTCACCAGCACTTTCCCCGGGTAGTCTCGGAGAATCTCGAACTTCATGTCGTAGACCTCCAGCAGCACGGACCGCGCGAAGCTCACGGTCTGGCTTCCCCGGCGTTCGTTCTCTATGATCACTCTGAAGCCCGGGAGGGACGGATGCTGGCCGCAGGAGGCGGTAAACAGGTACGAGCACGTGCCCATGAAATTGAAGACCCGCGAGTCCAAGGACATGTAGTGCGGGTCTCCGGAGGCCCGGCACTCGCCGTAGTACTGGGGGAAGCACCCCAGGAAGCCGTCCTTCGGCCCGCAGCGCTCGCCGGGCAGGCACCCTGATGTGTCCCGGCAGCTCACCTTCTGGGTGGCTCCATCACACGTGCAGCGGCGCCGGCACGAGTCGTCGGCGAACACTTCCTGATCCGGGGCCAGCAGGCGGCCCTCGAAGGTGCAGCCGCAGGATGACACAGGCACGCAGAGGCCGCGACTGGCCAGGAAGCCTGGAAGGCACACGCAGCCCTCCACGCAAGGGCGCCCAGAGCAGTTGCTCGGGGCGGCCTCTGAGTTGCAGGAGGCTGGGCAGGCGGGGCTGCAGAGCTGGTAGTGGCTGTTGGCTGGACAGGACAGGGCTGGAGAGTTCAGGAGAAAAGGTGGGTCAGGCCAGGGTGGTGCTGCTTCCTCAGAGCTGCCTGCCCCTCAGCTAATGGCTCTCTTACCTTCTTGCTGCTCAGGCCCCAATGCCCGGCTCCACCCATCCCCCTGGGCAAGCACTCAGTGGGCAAATCCTGTGACCGTCCAAGCCCACGGAGAATCTGTTCCACAGCAGCCTCCTGCCTGCTTTCCTGCTCCCCTGTGCTAACTGTGCTTCTCAAAGCAGCCAGAGAGACTGTGGATGCAGGATCAGAGCAGGTACCTCATCTCCTCCCCACCCCCACCTCCTGTGGCTCCACCTCACTCAGGGGAAGTCAGCTACTCCCAAGGCCCAGGACTTTTCCTCATCGCCTCCCAGCCCCCATCTCTCTCAAACCTCTCCTGGCTCACTGCGCCCCAGCCTCAGTTGCCTGGTCCCGAGAGCCCCCACCTCAGGCCTTTGCACTCAGCAGCCATTTATTTCCTCTACTATTGATATACTTTCCTTACACAGACTCTGCAGGTAAGAGCAAAAAGGCTACAGGCATCCAGGTGGCCTGGATTCTAACCCCAGCTCTCTCCTTGCCAGCTTGTTCCTGAGCAAAGGGGACCCCAGAGCTCTGAGGGCCCGTCTGTACCTCAGCCTTGATTGGGTGCATGGGCTGATGCAGGGGGTGACTTAGCTGACTTCACCTGGCTGTGCTCCGGGACCCAGTGTCATTGATTTCCTTTGTCTTCCCTGAGCTTCCAGAGGCTACTGCAGGATCTTGCTTTCTTTGCTCTGATGGCATTTCAGAGCTGATCTGCTAACTGTCCCTCCCCACCCAGGATGTAGATTCTGCTGGAGTTGGGACACATTCTGACTCGGCACACTGAATCTTCAGCACAGAGCAGAGGGCCTAAGAAATGGTCAGTGGGGCCATGAATTCTGCTTTCTCCTTTGTTTTGAGTTTGGAGAGATGCAGAGAAGGAGGCTTATAGGACAAAGGGACATAATAGTGACACAGGCAAATCCAAACAGTGTCTTTGGACTTATGGCCCCTATGAATTCCTGGTCTTAAGCCCTGGGCCTTGCCGGTTTCTTCCCTCACCATCCTTTATGCCACTTCAGCGTCTCTCTGAGCTGTCCTCCAGGCCACAGACAAGCCAGCGTTGGCCTTCCTCTGTCCTCCACATCGGCCAGCACAGAAATAGGCCATTGTGAGGATGGGACCTGTTTGCTGATTGAATGCTTTAGTTGGTGGGCACCTGGCTAGGCATCTTAGGTTTAGTCCAGAGGGCACTTGGGAGTCACAGGAGTATTACAGGCAAAATTCACACATTTTGCTTTACAAAAATTGGAAATCACTGAATTTTATCTTGCAACTCGGCAGATTACTGTTCCGGCCAAACCTCTGTGGCCCCCTGGGCCAGGACCCCACATCCTTTTCCCCCCTTCTGGCTATTCCAGTCCTTCCCTTGGATTTCAAATTGGACATTTTTTTTTCTAGGAAACACCTCCTTGTAACTTTCCCCAAGCCTGAATCTGAAACCTTGCTGGCATCCTTTATCGCTCTTGAGCTCCCCGGTCTTCTCCTGCACCCTCTCCAGCTAATCTCCAGCTTTGCCCGGCCCCTTCTTGTGCCAGGCCCCACTGCCGTCTCTCTGCATTCAGCACTGTGTGTGTCCCAGCCTTGGGCTCACTGCAGTGGAGCTGGCGTGTCTCGGCCATCCCTGCATTGCCTGTCCCTGGGCTGAGCCACAGCCAATGCTCAGGTACGAAGCAGAGGCAACGGCTTCCCTGGCCCTCGCCAAGGCTCCCTGCCCTGGTTGTAACTCACGGCACTTGGTTCGTGACCTCCATTCTCGGACGGAGATGCCCAGGTCCACACAGGCTCGAGCATAGGCACTGAGGCCATGGCACAGCGTGAGGCGCTCCCCTCCGGTCACACACATGTCAAACACACACTCCTCCAGAAAAGGCTTGGGGTCCAGGAATTCATGGCAGTCAGCAAATGGGCCTGTGGGAAGAATTAGCAGGCCACAGAAAACGTCGTTCTGGAAGAGCTGAGCCTGGCTTTTGGTGCAGGAGGGACAGTTGCCAGAACAGCCGTCATCACACAAGACGTCCCCATTAGCCACCTTCCAGCTTTTGGTAAAGTTCAGGACATCGGCAGCTTGTTTCCCGTCAGGCATGAGGAAGTCATCAGCAGGGTCTCCGTTATAGTTGCCACACAGCCCGCACACCTGGTCCTGGAAGCGCTTGGGCAGGCTCAGCGTCAGCTGGCGATCCCAGTCATAGGTGACCACCAGCCCAAAGTCCAGCTCTATCACGCCCTGGATCCCACTCTGGAACACACGCAGGCGGCCCTCACTCAGGGACGCAGGCAGGCTTGAGTGCTGGTAGTCAATCTGCAGAGACACGGCAGCAGCAGCAGCGGTCAGACCCCTGTGTAATCTCCCCTTCAGCCCTTCATCTGCTCCACTCAAGTCCCCAGCTCTAGCCACACAGGATGCCTTTCTTCCTCTGCCACCAGCTGAGCCTAGGATGCTTGCTCTTGCTGGCCGGGAGCGTTCTTCCCCGAGCTGTGGCTCGCTGAGGCTGTCCCTGTTCACCCTTTCAGCAGCCCCTTCCTGCTGCCTCTCCTCCTCGGCTCCCCAGTCCCCACGGCTTCTCCCACAACATGCATGTCTCCCACGCCCTCCATCTGTGTGAGCACCCGGAAGGCCACCTCACAGTTTTCTCTCCAGTGCCCCCAACAGCGCCTGGCAGAACGGCAGGCTCAATGCAAGCATGAAGCCGGTGTGAGGAAGGAAGCTGGCAGGCCTGGTGGCAGCAAGGGGCAGCTGCAGGGAGCCAGGGAAACAAGCCGGATTCATGATCGTGAGATGAACGGGTGAGAGACAGGAGGCGGTGGGCAGGACCAGTCAAGACCGACACCTGCCAAGATGACAAGTCTGCCGGAGGGCTGCCGGCTCATGGAAGCATTACTGTAGTGGGTCAATCATCTTAGTAAGATCCCTGCCCAGGGGCAGCTAAAGAAAGCACTGGCACATTCTGAGCTGTGCACAGGGTGGCACATGTCCCGGAATGCCTCCTCCTTCTCTGTGAAGCAAGCAGTCTGCTGTCTTTCTTTCTGTAACACCTTCACTTTCCTTTACTTTAAAAGTGTCTCATTCCTTTCCTTCACCTAGCCTGTGGCAACAGCTGTGAAGTAAACTCACTTTGTTCGGGCCCTGTGCTCAGACACCACGTGGGATGAAGCAGGGAGCCAGCATCAGCCAGCAAAGCAAGCTGAGGAGTCAGGACTGGGATGGAGCAGGCACTAGCAGAGGGCTTGGGGCTGGACTGAAAGACTCGAGAAAAGGCCAGTCAAAGGAAGGCTCCCCAAAGAAGGCGCAGTTGGATCAAGCCTGAAAGGACCAATAGGAGTCCCAGATATTCTGAAGGAGACAGGAGGATTGCGAGTGTGAGCCGCCTGGCACTCAGCGACCTGTGTCTAAAGGAAGAGAGGTGGAATACAGCTCAGCAGCGCAGCGCCCATCTCGGCACCGGAAGGCGTGAGTTCAATAATAGCATTTTAAAAGGGGCTGAAGTAGTTTCTTGCATGGAGGAGAAGAAATCCCAGATAACGTCATATGCACAAACAATATGTTTTATAATATGCCCTTTTACGAAGTTCTTTATGCGTCTCTATACTCACTATGTAGATGAGGCTGGCGTCAACCTCACTGATACCTGTCTGCCTCCCCAGCACAGGAAGGCGTAACTAATCTATGGGGGAAAATCAAGATAGTGATAGCCAGGAGAGACTGCCTGAAGACTGTTTGGAAAGCTGCTGTAGGGAATCGCCCAAGGTGATGAAAGAAATGTTTATCTTCATGGGTTTGCAGTGTGTCATGTTGATTTTCAGAGGGTGCGTGTGTGTTACTGTGGATTGAAACTAGGGCTTTCCAGGTGTGATGGTGCACATTTTCAATCCCAGCCCTCGGGAGGCAGAGGTAGGTGGATCTCTGTAATATTAATTCAGAACACAGCCATTCTGGCAAGAGATCACATCCAAAGACCTAGCTCTGTGTGATCTGGCTAGAATACAAACAAGCCTTTAATCCAGAAGACAGAGGCAAGCAGATCTGAGTTCAAGGCCAGCCTGGTATAGAGCAAGTATCAGATAAACAAAAGCTTAGGTCCAGGCATGAAGATACACACCTTTAACCCCAAACAATGAAGGTAAAGTTACTTTGCAAAAGGAAGCACCCGTGTTTAAAAGTGATGTCTAATTGAGTGGCAGAAAAAGTGACCAATCAGAGAAAGATTTGACAGAATAGGATAGACCCAACTCTCAGAAGAGGAGAGTGGAAAGGGAAGCTACTCAAGGGAGCAACACAGAGAATGAGACAGAGAAAGGAGGCAGTTTGACCTGGATAGAACAAGCTAGACACAGATGATGACACAATGAGCCAGAGAATGAGAAGGAGCCAGAAGATTAGAAAAGATTGCTGAAGTAAGTTTGAGGCCAAGAAGAGCAATTCAGAGGCCTAGAGAAAAGCCAGATTGAATAGGTTAGCTAAGAGGAGAGTTTGAGCCAGAACAGTTTGAATTGAACAGCCAACCAGAGTTAAAGAATAACAAGAAAGGGTGAAATTATTAAGCATTAAGTCTCAGAGGCTAAAAACAGTCTAGGCCCAGGTTCAATTGTATGGAGGCCTAGATTAGTAGACAGAGGCAGTAGGCCTCTGAGACAACAATTGAAACAGGACAATAAAAGTTCCTTTTACAGGTCTCTGCAAGGTTCAGGCCGTTCCGATCTACACAGTGAGTTCCAGGCCAGCCAGTTACATAGCGAGACCCTGAAATGAAAGTTAAGGCAGAGACTAGGACATGGTGCATGCTAGGCAAGTGCTCTGCCACGGACTATGCACCCAGCCCCTCATTTGCACAGTCCAAGCAGGGGCTGTACCACAGAGCTCACGACATAGCCTCTTGAGTGCTGGATTTAGGCTCATCCCATACTGCCCAGCTCTGAGTTTTAATACATATATAAATTTATCTGAAAATTAAGCACAATCACTTAAACATTGCATTCTAGTTAAATATATTTAAGTCATTTTGGTGCCGTGCTCTAATGTCTGGAATTGACTTTCAAGTACATAAAAAAGGAGAGACTCAATCTGACAGGCATGCACGGGTGGGTATCTGAGGCAGGTGAGGAATAATTGAAGTGTGTGGAATCCACGCAGGGTAGGCATACAAGTGGTCACCGTCTAGACTACATACCCTTGACTCGGACTTCTGAAATGTGAGATAATAAACGAACCTGAGAGTCTCCGAGCATGAAGATGTCTCACATGGGTTGGTTCCCCAAGGCCGGAAAGAGTGATAAGATAGAAAGGCATGTGCACCGAACACAGTCTATAAAATTGTCTGTTGGGAATGGGTGAAACCTAACTGAATTCTGTGTGTAGGCTTGGGTCGCATCACAGTATGGACATACAAATATTTCAAAAAATTTCAAAGTCGAAGCATTTCTGGCCTCAGAGTCTCAGCTAGGGCACCATCAAGCTGCGCGGTGACTCTGCTTCCTTAGAGGTTCCCCATTTCCAGTGATTTGGAAGGGAAGGCCGAGAACTGCCGCCTGCTTTGACTGTGAAGCAATGGAGCCAGCAGGCTCAGACCAGAGACCCTGCAGTCCAAGTGTTACCAGGAAGACGTAGCTCCTAGGCCCTGGGGGGGGGGAGGGGTCACTCATGCCCTTCAACCTGTCTCCTCGCCTGTGCCTGCTCACAACACAGTACCGTCTCAGACACCCACTAAGCATTAGACACAGAGTGCATCAAGAAACAGATCTGGGACCAGCACATGGTCACTAACTGACTTTATCACATTAGAGAGCCCTATTGTTGGACCATTATTGTTAGATCATTTACTTTTCCATTTTCCTCTTCCAAATAGCGTCAGATTGTTTTCTTTCTAACCATGTCATTAAATGTCCTTGACATTTTTCAGAAGTGGAGTTGGTAAGGGAAAGGTTTTCAGGATCTGCTCCTGTTTTTTATTTTGTTTTCTTTTTGGTTTTGCGAGACAGAGTTTCTCTGTGCAGCTTTGGCTGTCCTGGACTTGCTTTGTAGACCAGGCTGACCTCGAACTCACAGAGTTCTACCTGCCTCTGCCTCCTGAGTGCTGGGATTAAAGGAGTGCA